GGGGTTATTATTTTATTTTATTAGAATCCATATATAAATCCCTACTAGCACATGTATAGATGGGGACATGGGGTGTGTTTGTGCTAGGTTTGAGTGGTGTTGTGCTAGGCGATACAGCTTGAGGAGTGGCACATGTTGGTGATTGATTGTTTTTAAGATAAAAGTGACATAAAAGGCGTTTAATGGACCTTCAAATAAATTATGTTTGATAATTACAGGAATACTCCCTATATTCTTTTAAATGATCTCATTAGGTATAACTACAAATCCATTGGTGTGGGGTTTTAGTCTGTTTATGGCAGAATTCCTACCCAAGGCTTAACTTCGGTCAGGAAAAGTTTATAAAAATATTTTATGTAATCACTTGAATCATGGTAACACTAAAAGTCTTGGCTATATTTATGTGATGTATAAGTCTATAATAAATCTATTGGTTATTTGTTTCTGAGTTTATGTTGAGTATATAGTGTTTAAGTACACATAAATACTAACAAAAATAACAACTGTTGAGTAGGACGATATAGATGTGAAGGCTGTGCAAAATCACAAACTTATTTTTCATCTAACAATGAATAAATCATGAACGTATTCTACTTTGGTTTGGGCTAAGAACCCCAACTTATACTTGCTTTGAACTTTATTCTTGTTATGCTTGATTGATCATGTGTTGAATATTTTTAATTTTCAAAATAGAAAGTATTTTCAAATAAAAGATGTTTTACTAAATCGAACGAGTTTGATTAATGTTCTTGCATGAGGGACTCAAGTCACTTGAAATGGGGGTGTTACACTAATAAGTATTTTCTCCAAATGCCTAAGATCATCAGCTAGGAAGGGACTTCACTTGGATTTTCAGACGATTGCTCCAATGATTGTTGGAGAAGGGAAACTTAGTAGAAGGAAATTGGTACTCCACATTTTTTAAAAAAGAAGTTTAATTTTATTATTGTATGTACACGTATCATGTTCTCTCCTGTTTTTCTAGGGGTACATTACATTTGCATCTCAGTTTGTACACCACATGTAACATAGACACTCACATATAAGAATTATATGATAATGTGGAGGAGGAATAACCAAATTTTAAAGGGGAGAGCATTTCAAGAGGATGCTAAATTTTGGAAAGCTTTATGCTATTTTAGTTTCTTAAGGGCAATCTAGCAACTTATTTTTGTCACATTCTCTTCAATCATGTCATCCATTTTTTCATTTATAGAATATTTTATTCTTTATATAAATTAGTCCCTCCGGTCCTTAAAAGTTTTCTTATGTTTACTTTTTTTGTACAAACAATGACACACTTTGAATATAAATTGTGAGAAAAATATTTATATTATTTATATTTTGAAATACCAAATTTTTATATTATTTATTTATTTATTTATTTAGATAATGTTTAATATATGGTAAAAGAGTGTCACACTTTGACAAAAAAATCGAACCATGAAATATTTTTAGAAGCGATAAAGTAATTTTTAAGAAATTCTACAAAATCCCTCAAATTCTAAATCTTTCCAAAAAAAGAAAGAAAAATAAGTTTGGGACCGGTAGAGTTCAACAAAAAGTGTCATTGTTTGTCAAGAAAATCAAAACAAGAAGAGTTTTTAAGATCGGATGGAGTAGCTTTTATCAATGATCGATCAACAGTAATTTGGAAGTCTGTTTTTCTGATCGCCTTCAACCACATGAGCTTTAACTTACAGATTTAATATATTTTATTATTTTATGTACACTTATCGATCATGTTCTATCCTGCTTTTCTAGGGCACATCACATTTGTACCCTAATTTGTACACATGCAACACAGACACTCAAATATACGAGTAACAATTATCTATGTACTCCCTCCGTCCACAAATAAACTTTACATTCCGTGTTACGATATTTGACTGAAGTTATTTTCAAATCATTTTATATGAAAAATGGTGTAGAATTGTGATACGAACTCGTATCGGATAGGGAAGACTCAGAGCGTCTTCAAGCTCCTGAGAATATGAGACGAGGAAGAAGAAGAATTGAGGCGAAGGGGGAATCGGCGAACTGAGAGAGGAAGAGAATTAGGCTTTGATTATTCTTTATTGATTCCTTTGTAATGATAAAAGGGTTACAATATATAGAGATGGAGGAACACTCTATTGACCTAATGGGCTTGGGCCCATACTAAATCCAAACATAATAACTATATTAATAAATAACTAATTAAATAATGTATTTCTTCTTCCGTATCATTCCCACCCCCTTAGAAAACCACCTTGTCCTCAAGGTGGAGGATCCCACTCATGCTTTTGGATATGTGAGAACGTGATGAACCAAAAGAGACATCCATTTGTTGACCAGTCTTCAAGAAGCTTCTCAGGTGAAGTATATAGGCATAAATAAAAGTGAAGACCACATCGTCGTCGAATCATTTTCTTCGAGATCAGATGCTCAGACTTGACAAAATCAAACAACCTGATGGTATCCAAAGAAATTAATTGGGCCGCTTGGTTACAATGTTCACTAACCACCTTGTTGACACATTCTAGAACGTCATACTTTGCAATTTCTACCCCCATTAGGTCATTTAGTGACACATGTAATTCACGAGGTGTAGAATCTGGCTTGTAGGATAGCTTATCACTTGTAATAGTGGCAACATCATCTCCATCAATTACACCACCATCATTGTCAATGATGTCAGACCCGCTATCATTGTCCTCCTTGATGAAAGATTCCTCGCTTAATTCCTTTAGTTCATTTGTGTCCTCCACAGTCGAGGCGGGGAGTGTGTTGGCGTTTTCCACCATGTGGGCAAATGTGTCTCTAGACTTCTCTGATGTCTTCTCAAAACAAACATAATCCAAATTATGTAGCGGAGCAAATCGTATTTGGAACTTTTTAACAAAATCCTCCCAACCATCAATCAAGCCGCCACGCATACGCCAATTAAACCAAGCCAAGGCAGAGCCCTCTAACAGTGATGTCACACGGTTCAAACGGTCAACTAAAGGGACTTCATAAAACTGGAAATACTCACATACCGTAGCTAACCACTGCACGGGTTTGGTTCCGTCACATCTTGGGGGCAACGTTGGGGGAGAAGGTGGAGCGCCTGTCACTGTCCGTATAATACCCATAATGTGTGCTCTGAAACTGTGTAACTCAAAAGGAATTTGACTTGGCACAATTGGAGGTCCACGAACCAAATCCTGTACCGAGCAAAAAATTTCTATGTCGAGCACATCATAATCAATTTGACCTTTAAAATTATGGATCGACCTAAGCTTCATAATAATTTTATACACTTGATCAAAAATCAAACACACTCCATCATAATCAATTTCTCCATAAAGAACATTCTCCAACAAATTAACTAGTGTGTCCACTGTACAGGTCATCATCGCCACGACCTTATCAGTACTTGTTGAAGCTTCTGTCATTGTTATTCTTAAAATAATATGCGGCACCTATGAACTTCCAATTAACCATGGGTCTTCAAATCAATTGATACCAATAAATATGCAGCAACAACTATCGGATAGGGAAGACTCAGAGCGTCTTCGAGCTCTTGAGAATATGAGACGAGGAAGAAGAAGAAGAAGAATTGAGGCGAAGAGGGAATCGGCGAACTGAGAGGGGAGAAGGAATTAGGGTTTTGAGTTGTTTATTGATTGAATTCTTCTAAAGGAGTTACATCTCTATATATAGAAGACAAAGTAACCCTAGCTAACCCTAAACCTAACCTGACGGTTCAATAAAAGCGACGAGGGAAAGAACCGTAAAGAAACCTCGAAAGAGCTTATAATTTCGCTCACCTAATAAAATCTACATTACAATAATAATAATATTAATAATAATAATAATAATAATAATAATATTAAACTAATAAATATATAATCTAATATCCTACTATATAATCCATAACACTCTCACCCCCTTAGAAAACCACCTTGTCCTCAAGGTGGAGGTTCCCACTCATGCTTCGAGACTGGAGAAAAAATGTTGACCCAAAGATTATGCCCACTTGATGATAGATCTTCATTAAGCCTGCAAAGTGGAGTACAACGATGGACACAAGAGAGAAGAGCAAATGCAAACTTAGCTACCGGCGGTGAAACCCAATACTCGGACTCCACTATATTCGCATGGGCAGAGGACAGGATGATATCAAAGGATAGTGAGATGTCTGCTTGCGTATAATTTGCATCTGCTACTTGGGCTGTTTTGGACGAAGGCACAAGGGTACATGTGATGATGATATTGCTCAATGCTGGATCCTTTGCAACTTCTCCCTTACCCGGTGCATCGACGTGCGTATCAACAGCAACAAGATCCGATGGAAAGGCATTAACAATACCTCCAACAGAAACATCATCGGCATCAACGGCAAGAACTCTTACTGAATCCCCAACCGTACACTCCACAGATTCTATGTCAGTAGGTGCAGGATTGTGTAGAGTGGTGGTAGGGGTTAGATCAGGTGGAGCAATGGGAACACCGAGAAGATTCCTTATAGCATCCATCATCTTTGTTTTGAAACTTTTTAACTCCAAGGGAATATCACTCAATGACATTGGGGTACCACGCACCAAATCTTGTAACGAGCAAGAGATTTCCACATTGAACGCATATAACTCAGAGTCAGAATACGATAGATCTAAAAGATGACGAAATAAGTGGAGCGTCTTCAAAATTTCATCCACATGATCATAAGCTATACAGACCCCGTCATGAAACTCAACTCTTCCATAAAAGATATTCTTCAACACACCAAGAAGTTTGTTCAAAGCATCATCCATGGTCACAATAATTTTATCCAAAATCGAGACCATAGTTGTGATAAGACTGATCCAAAAAAAACAATGAAAAAGCAATGCACTTCAGGGAGGAACAGTACTCTTACATACAGCAAAACATGTAGACTTCAAATTGAGAATTCTTTTGGCTATTCCGCAATTGGGGGCTTTATCCTGTTGGACTGTTTTTTTTGGATCGGCAGTATATAGGGGCTTCACCCTCTCCCCAACTTTGCGAATTTGGTGAGGGAGGGTGTTTCCTCGTCCAAGATTTCTTCCGGCAGCAGCAATGAGGGAAAAAAAACTGGCGGCGTAAATTGATCTATTCTGCCGTCAACAGGGCTGCAATTCTTTTTTTTCTCCAACAAAAGCACCAAACAGATTTGGAACGGCCGATTGTGTTCAGCGGCAGAGGTAAAGCTCAGACCTAGCAATTCTGGTTTTCTCTCGTCGGCGTGAAAATTCGCACAAACAGATCTGGAACGGCTGGCAACAACAGATTTGTTTTTTTTTGTTTTTTTTGGGTGTTCAAATCAATGAAAGCACCAATTGATACGAACTCGTATCGGATAGGGAAGACTTAGAGCGTCTTCAATCTCCTGAGAATATGAGACGAGGAAGAAGAAGAATTGAGGCGAAAGGGGAATCGGCGAACCGAGAGAGGAAGAGAATTAGGCTTTGATTATTCTTTATTGATTCCTTTGTAATGACAAAAGGGTTACAATATATAGAGATGGAGGAACACTCTATTGATCTAATGGGCTTGGGCCCATACTAAATCCAAACATAATAACTATATTAATAAATAACTAATTAAATAATGTATTTCTTCTTCCGTATCAAATTGAAAAATAAAAATTACATATTAAAAAATTATATCAAACGATCTACAAAACTAAAGGGGACATGACTATATTATTTTATCAAATGGGTAACGAAAATAGGCCAACAAAGTGAATAAAGTTTGACCATGCGAATAGTGAACGTAAAATTTATTTATGGACGGAGGAAATATCATATACTAGATAACTCTTTTTTGTTTGTCTATAATATACTTGTTGTGCAAATGGGAGTATGACATGTAACTCTAGCTTTTTTCAAAAGAAGAATATAGTGCTTTTAGAAGGCCCCTTGTAGGAGTTGGAGATGCTCTCATCTAACCTTTTTAAGTACAGTAGAACTTTTCCTAATAAGGACTTCTGTGTTGGAATAGCGTCATTATGAGGGTGGGTGAAGTCATTATCAATCTCTCCATAGAGTCATAGAC